GAATACAGATGTGAATAATTTGATGGTTGACCTGATGTTTGTCTGTTTCACCAGGAGAGGAGGCTGCCGAGCTGTAAAATGCGCTCATCCTGGGAGTTGCCTATTGAGCTACATAACCTAGAGGTAAGACAGCTGGTACATTTATTTTGATCAGGTTTTACTTTTGTGTTGAAATGTTCTCTCATTTTTATATCGTAATGTTAGTATTATTAAGCAGGAACTTAGTCCGATGCTGTATTTTGTATTGTGTGTGTTCATAATAAATAACGTTCAAATATAAATCTTCTTAAAGCTTTTGGATTCTGACAACCGACTGTCTTTTACCACCAACAGGACAATAGTTGCAAAAGTACCACAAAAAATCTGACCTCCAAGGTGATTCCCCAGAATGAAACTCTGCCAGAGTCTTCACTGAATGCAAAAGGAAAGGCCCCTCTGCCAGTGGCAACAAGGGGTTGTCCTCAGATTGGATGTTGTAAGGGTTAGTGATCTCTCATTTAAAAGTATGTTGTATACATTTGATCACTTCATTACTATAAATTGTCTTATAATTATGTTTTCCCTGCTCATGTCTTTTATAGATACTGGCAAAAGTTCAGTCCAATCCAATAACTCCTGCAATGATCATGGTTTCACTCAGATTAATGGAAGTCCCAGAGTTCCCCAGAGACAGAGCTCTACATCTTTAAGGTTCCCATGTGTTTCCCCCACAACGATATTTCAGAGTAACCCACAACACAATGCTGGCAACCAGGGTGAGAAATTAGTTCTGTCTCCAAAATGTCCTAACAGTATATGTTTTTGAATCCCTCCAATACTCTCTATTCCTGTCCTGCACATTTCCAACATATGAGTTCGGACCAAGAACATAAACATGTCATTGTTGCACACTTTAATCCATCTGGAAGAGCTTTGCTCTTTGTCAGTCTTAATTGACTGATGTATTTTAGGTAAACAAATCTGGAGGAGCTTTGTGTACATATCCTCCTGAGAACCATAAAAAAAAGTTTTGTGAATTTTGTCATTTTTTATTTCATTACATTGGTTGGAGCATAAGAAACAAATGGAGAAAAACATTTTTGAAAAAATATATTTTATTCACATTTTATTCTATGTCCTTTGTAGAGGACTAAGTTATTAAAAAAAGTAAATAGACATGAAAAGACATGTATAGGCAAAAACAATGTTTTATTTTTTTCATTCACCAATCAGTTTTTAGGTTTCAGGCTGTTTTTAACCAAACTTAGTCCAAAGAGGATTCTCAACTATGTTATGCAAGATACAACAGAATGATCTGATATACTATTTTACTTTATACAATATGTGCATACATGTCTATAAATTCGCATTCCCATTCTATACAATGTATCTATACATTGCAGCCAGAGCATGCTATTGTTGCACATAAAATATTAGAACAATGCAAAGAATACAAAACCATTAGAAACTCATACGAGAATTCATCATCACACACCAAGAGATGCATTAAAAACGGTGCCAGTTTTAGCGTTTTGTGATAAAGAATTGAGAATCATAAATAAAAATAATCATGGATAAAAATAAAATTAAAACAAGCATTTAATGACCACAAACGGAGGGAAAATAAAGGAGTAAAAGTACAGATACATCACTTAAAATGTACACGAGTAAAAGTAAATGTACACAATTTTTGAACTACTCAAAAAAGTACAATTTCTGAAAAAACTACTTAATTACAGTAACGTGAGTAATAACATTTTTCTGAGATGTTTATGACAAACAATTTGAAAATTAGTCAGATTTAAATGATAATTGCACAATATTATCATATCTCCCTAATAATGCTAAGTTTGATCGTTCTGTCAATATCAGTCCATTTTAAAGACCAAGGAGTGTTTATGATCAAACCTCCAAACATTTGATATCTCTAAAAAGCCCTGAATGTGCTCTGTACAGGACATCCAGACTTAACACTGTGGCATGTATGGTCTCAGAGAAATTCACTAAAATATAATGTCCTCTACAGAGGACAAAAGGGTCCCAAGAGGATATTGTGTACGTACTGTTGGCATAACTACCTGGACACAGCAAATGTATCAGTTCTTTGTGTTGGGACTTTACATGTGCGCAGTAAGCAGTTCTGTTGGACTGTGCTCACTCGCTTCCTGAATGACTGCCCCACTCATGCCTTATCTGTGTCCAGTGTGTTTCCTCCCCAGAGGGTTTTTGTTTTTCTCAGAATTAGTCTTGTTTTGTTCATTGAAATGCAAGTAGTACAGAAGGTTTTGTCGCAGTGAAGTAACTGGCTAAGAGGGAAGGCAATTTAAAAAAAAAAAAGCATTATGGTTCAAACGTTCGGGATTAGTATTATTTTTAATGTTTTTGACTAAAATGCCCTTCTTCTATGCTCAAAAAGGCTGCATTTATTTGATCAAAATACAGTAATACTGTGAAATATTATTACAATTCAAAATAACTGGTTTCTATTTCATTATATTTAAAAATGTAATTTATTTCTGTGAGCGGAGCGGAGTGGAGCTTGATTGATCAGATTTGCTTTGCTCACACATATAATAATAGAACAATATAAAAATGATGTGTAAATATTGTCTTTGTGTTAGTTCCTAACTCTATGCTTACACTGTTATCATATACTCTGATCCTTCCTCTTACTCTAGTTAAATGTCAGCTGTCTGCAGGAAGGAGCTGTTGCCGACTTCTGCAAGAAAGACGGCAGGTCATTGTTCGCTGCATGACTGAGGGGCGACTCAACAACCTACTTGATGTGTTGCGGGCTAGACAGGCTGTGACCCGTGAGATGTACGAGATCATCACTGCAGCCCTGACCTTGACTGCACGCACGCGCTGTTTGCTTGATGTCTGTGCCTGCCTTGGTGAAAATGTTGCTATCTTGGTGGCCACAACTTTAGGTTTAGTATCCACCGAAAATACTCAGACCACACATAGGTGGCAGGCTGGATAAGTTAAGCCAACGTGCCGCTACTCTTATGCAATGGAAAAATGCAGTAACTGCACATGAAACAACTTATATCAGATTGATATAAGATGTGTAAGGCACTGTAATGTGTTGGGATTGTTAGTGTGTTCTTGTTTGGACTACTCTGTAACAGATGAAGGGAGGTTAGACTCTCTGGAAGGGTATGCTGCAATGCAGCTTTAGTCTTGGATCTAAAGATCTCATCAGATTAACACCCATTATAAAGGGTACTGATGATGTCATTGTTTCCCAGTTGACAAACTGAAGGGATTAGTTAAATGCCTTTGATGATGATGATGATGATGATGTTCTGATGAATGGGCAAATATAGGTTTGATTATATTCCTTTTGTGGAGAGAAAAAAATCAACAGCACAAAAACAGATTATTTTGAAAAGAACCTTCATGAAAGGTAAGGCTGTTTCCCTTAATCATGCTTACTTAACAGTGTTTGCTGTGAACTTTCACTCTCAGTTAATACTGAGACTGTTGACTGAGAAGTTCACAGCCTAATATATCACATTCATCTGATAGACTCATCAAATATTTTACATTTTTCTTACTATAACCACATTTATCTTGCATGTAGTACACATTTCCAAGGATGCAAGTTTTTAGTTTTTTTTCGACTTACAGTTGTGCATGTTGCACAACAGACTCAGTAGTTTCTGATTGTAGTGTATCTTGCAACAAGACAATTTTTTTTTCTTCCCTATGTACAGTTTGTAGCATGGCATGTGTAAAGCAAAATAAATACATAAATAAATATTAAAAATGAATGTATGGACAAAATAAACATTGTATAAGAAATGTCATTAAATGTTCACACTGGCCACACTGGTAATATATTTTATAATATATACTGTTGTGTCTTTACCACATAACAGTATGTGTATTTAACAGTATGTGTCCCTTCAGCATTTGACCTGAGCTCTTACGTAAGATCCACTTCTTGAAGAACAGCTATTACTTGGTATTACTAAGGTCAATACCATGCCACATACCTCCTCATAGACTGGATGATCTTTACACTGGTTAGTTTTAAAGGGCATGAATGGTCCTTGCCATAGGGGCCTTTACTCACATTGCAATGAAATGTCTTTGACTTGAAAATTCAAGTTGCTTCAGCAGCGTCCTGGAATGTGACATATTATACTTACTATATTGTAGAGAACCTTTTTTCATTTGTTTATTATTAAGAATAATTATTATAAATATCATTATATTTAAAGCAATTATTATGTAATTAGTATAAATATGACTTATTTTAAATAAAGCTACATGCTCATAAAAAGACAAAAAAAAAATTTTTTTTTTTTTTTTTATTACACAATGCAGGGCCATTTAAAATGAACTAGTGAAGGTAAAAATGTTATTAAAAGAATTGGTAACCAGTTGCAGGACCTAAAATATTTCTTACCTTGTACCATTCACAATCCGTTCACAATTTGGAGTCAGTGAAATTGTATTTTAAAAGAGAATAATACTTTTATTCAGCAAGGATGCATTAAATTGGGCAAAAGGGACAGTGAAGTCTTATAATGTTTAAATATTTTTATTTCAAATAAATGCTGTTCTTTTGAATGTTCTATTCATCATAGAATCCTGAAAGAACATTTTAGAAAATGTAAGAAAATATTAAGACTAGAATAATGGCTGCTGAATTTTCACACACACACACACACACACACACACACACACACAC